GGTATGTCTACACTACCACCCTAGTTCGAACTAGGGTGGTTAATGTAGTCATATGAACTTGCAAATGAAGCCCAGGATTCGAATTTCCATGTACAGATGTTCCATGTACAGATAGTTCCATGTACAGATAGTTCGGAATAGGAAGCCTAGTCCGAACTATCTAGTTCGTGCCACGTGTAGCCGCGGGCACGGAGTCCGCACTAGCGGACATTTAAAAATGGCGGCGCCCGGCAACATGCAAATGAAGCCCGGGAAATTCGAATCCTGGGCTTCATTTGCAAGTTCATATGACTACATTAACCACCCTAGTTTGAACTAGGGTGGTAGTGTAGACATACCCACAGACATTTGCTGACAGGAACACTGTTCCTAATCCGTAAAGAAAGAGGGTTTCATGTTCCATATGCGAAGGAGGGTTTTATGTTCTAGCTTGACAAAGCCCAGGCTGGGATAGTTTAGTTGGGGTTGGTCCTGCTTTTAGCGGGGGGGTTGGACTCAATGACCTCTTCCAGCCCTAGGATTCTATGTACTTTGTAAATTTAGAACAATCAACAGCAAGATATTTGCAATCCCAAATGTTGAGGTATCAGTTTGGTAGCCTTAACACGGATATCAAAACCACACCTTTGATACTTTGTTTACTGTCTTTAGTAGAGAGAAATACAATCTGCCTTCCCCTGCAATTATCATTGTTTTTAAATGTCTTACTGGTCCAAATTGTGAAGAGAAGAATCAGATAGTTAATATGTTCCATGAATGTTTAACAGTAAATACCCCACTCAGCAAAAATAGAGTCGCCGGATTTCTACTGAATCAATAGTCCAGTTCCTTAAATAAACAAAGAAAAAACAGTAGCCCAAAAGTATCTCAATCTGTGGATTCAAACAATTGTTTTATTACCACATTGGACTATACCTTAAAAAAGAATCACTAGCTACAGTATAATTAAATGATGGGCATTAGCAGCATAGATCTACAATAAATCAGTTTTGCCAGCCAAATCTTGGTTTGGAATTACGTTCACGGAATGGTTTGTGCAAATAGTTATGAATAAATACAAAGGACTGGAATCACAGAATCATAGAACACTAGAACTGGAAGGGACCTCGTGAGGTCATCAAGTCCAGTCCTCTGCCCTCCCGGCAAGAGCAAGCACCATCTAGATCATCCATGACAGATGTCTATCTAACCTGACAGATGTCTGTCTAACGAGGAAGGAGGTTCCTAGTGTGTTGCTCTAAGGACCTGAGAGTTTAAACATCACCTCCATGACATTCCCGGAAGGCGCTCAAGTTTGTGAGACTCTGACACCCTCCCAAATAGTAAAGAGTAAGCAAAGAGGAGCTAAGGTGACTTACCAGCTGGAAGAGAAGGACATACAGCAAAGCAGACACACAGCTACAAAATGGCTGGCGGCTTAGCACAGCATTTTTATTTATTTATTTATTTATTTATTTTTGCCTTTGCACATGTAAAAGGCTCCTCAAAAGGTGTCTGGGAGAAAGTCCAAGAATTGAAAAGTGTGGCTGCCACCCTGCTGAGGAATCTGCATATGCATGTAACAGTCTGCATGGGCCCTCCCTGGTAACCTGACCCAAAGCGCATGTCCAGTTCTTCTCCCGTCATGTCTTGGGGTGAATCAGCTGCCCAATCCTCATCCAACTATTCGGTTAATAGATATTGGTTGTCACAAGGTTGTTTTCCTTTCTCTCCAGTAACAGAGCACTGAAAGTCACCCCCGAGGCAACTATATGGGATCCTTGGAGTGATGCCTGAGGGGAGACGCTCTACATTGTGAAGAGGTTCTATTGCACCCAGTCACCCCTTTAATCACAACCGTCGAAAGCACAGCATCTGCGGCCCAGACCCTATGCCATGGTGGCTTTCAATCACACCTCAGCCGGCCCTGCGGTATTCCTCCTGATGGGCATCCCGGGGCTAGAACAAGCCCACGGCTGGCTCGCCATCCCTTTGTGTGCCCTGTATATTGTGGCTGTCCTAGGGAACAGCATCATACTGTTAATTATACGGTCAGAGCCAAGCCTCCAACAGCCCATGTACTATTTCCTGAGCATGCTGGCACTCACCGACCTGGGCCTGTCAGCTTCCACACTGCCCACAATGCTCAGCATCTTCCTCTTCAATTCCCAGGAGGTGAGTGTTGATGCCTGCTTTGCCCAGCTGTTCTCCATTCACACATTCTCCATCATGGAGTCAGCCGTTCTGTTGGTTATGGCCTTTGACCGCTTTGTGGCCATCCACATGCCCCTGAGGTATGCCTCCATCTTAACCAACGCCACTGTTGCCAGGATAGGGCTGGCGTTGGCGGTGAGGAGTGTGCTCGTGATGATGCCAATCCCCTTTTTACTCCGGCGGCTATGGTTTTGTCTTCCCAACATCCTCTCCCACTCCTTCTGCCTGCACCCAGATGTCATGCAACTGGCCTGCTCCGACAGGAGAATCAACCCCTGAGGTATGCCTCCATCTTAACCAACGCCACTGTTGCCAGGATAGGGCTGGCGTTGGCGGTGAGGAGTGTGCTCGTGATGATGCCAATCCCCTTTTTACTCCGGCGGCTATGGTTTTGTCTTCCCAACATCCTCTCCCACTCCTTCTGCCTGCACCCAGATGTCATGCAACTGGCCTGCTCCGACAGGAGAATCAACAGCGCCTACGGCTTGTTTGTGGTCATCAGCACCATGGGCCTAGATGCGCTGCTCATCGTCCTGTCCTACGTGATGATCATGATGACTGTCTTTAGTATCGCCTCCAAAGAGGAGCGCCTCAAGGCTCTGAGCACCTGTGTCTCCCACATCTGTGCCGTCCTGCTCTTCTACATTCCCATGATTGGCATCTCTATGATCCACCGTTTCGAGGAACGTGCCTCTCCCCTCGTCTCCATCTTCATGGCTGACATCTATGTGTTGGCCCCCCCGGTGATGAACCCCATTGTGTACAGCGTGAAGACACAGCAGATCCGCAGGAGAATAGTCCAGAGGTTCCAGAAGAAGAAGATCCCAGATAAAGGGAGGCTGAGAGGTCTTGTTCTCACAGGACCTGCATCCGAGCTTTCGAGGAACGTGCCTCTCCCCTCGTCTCCATCTTCATGGCTGACATCTATGTGTTGGCCCCCCCGGTGATGAACCCCATTGTGTACAGCGTGAAGACACAGCAGATCCGCAGGAGAATAGTCCAGAGGTTCCAGAAGAAGAAGATCCCAGATAAAGGGAGGCTGAGAGGTCTTGTTCTCACAGGACCTGCATCCGAGCCGTCGTTCATACCTGCCTAAAATGGATCCCTTGGGATTTGGTAGCGTTCGCACCTACTTTGAGCAGGTTTAAAGGCGACACGAGGTGCAAGACTGTGACAGAGCAAGTCCCAACATCCAAAGGGATTCTCCATCAGCTGAATCGGGAAAACAATGTAAGGATTTCTCATGTGTTAGCCACTTTACGGCTGCTGGTAGCCCTAGATAGAGCACAGCTGCTCCGCTTCTCACACCATCCAGCTACACTGGGTACTTGCCATGATGCCAGCCTGCCAGTTGCTTCACTACTTGCCTTAATCACAAGTGCAGCATTTCTGAGTGTGGGGAACCAGCTGCCATAGGCATCCCACCTGGAGGGTCCTGCAGTGTGACCTAGTGGTTTGAGCATGGGACCAAACCTGGGTTCTAAGCCCAGCTCTGCCACTGGCCTTTTGGATGACCTTAGCTAGGTCCCTTCACCCCCCTTGTGCTTCAGTTTCCTCACCTGTAAAATGGGGGTACTGACACTGATGGAATTTGTAAAATGCTTTGAGATGTACTAATGACAAATGCTGTATAGGAGGTAGGTATTAGCATTCTCTGGGGGAGTCATGTCCGTACAGCTACCTGCTATGTCCCATCTCACTCCTTCTGGACTGCCAAGTGTACCATATACCTCCAAGTGACAATTTTAGCCCGTAAGTGCCCAGGGATCGTGTCCTATTTTGTGTCCATCGCACCTCCAGGTACCCTGACAGAGATGGAATAATAAGGGGTTGACCTTGACTCATTGCAGGTCATGCCTGCCTTCCCAGCACTCACAGAGACCATGCAAAACAACACTCATGTATCACCCAGACCCCTGCCTCCAACTCCTGAGGCCAACGCAGCTGTGATACTTCATGACAGGTTCTGCATGAGGATATGCTTCATCGTAGTCTACGGAACAACCAGAGACAGACTAGACACAGCTCTGTCACTGTCCGCTGTGGTAAAATGAGGGCCCGAAACATAAGCCCAGGTATCACAGACCGTGCATGAGGCCTGAGATCCAGACAGCAATGTTCAGGACTTTGCTAATAGAAAGCAGAGCTCAGCTGTGAGCAAGAGGCAGGGCTCCGCTCCCTGACGTCTAATAGAAAGCAGAGCTAAGCTGTGAGCAAGAGGCAGGGCTCTGCTCCCTGATGTTGGCAGGAACAGGACTGATATGGCAGAAACACTCAGACCTAAGAGGTACTAAGCACAGGCCGTAAACACATTCCAGAGATGTCATAACAGAACATCTTGTGAGGAAACAGCTCGGTACCAACGCCCCCCTCCCCTAGATAACAGGAACATACCAACCCAGGCTCAGGAATGGGTCTAAAGTGACAGCATGTTAGATAGCGATCGAACCCCCATGTACAAGGAAATGGGTGGATCTAGGTAACTTCAGAAGGTGGCAACCTGATACATCAGGAGTGGTGTGTCACTTGTTTGGACTTGTGTATAAAAGGGAGCTGTGTTTGTCCAGCTGAGGGGGCTGTCTCATTCCTGGCACTGACTGAGCTGTGTCCATTGTCGGGGGTATATATGCATAGTGGTTCGGTAGAGTCTACTGACAACTATTACAGCACTTGGTTTGACAACAAACCTGGCCTCCCATCCTTATCTGATTTTGAGGTCTTTGGGGGTTCTCTCAGAGTCGGTGGTGTTGGCTATTTGCTCAAGCCAACAGGACACACAGAGGAGCATACTCACACAGTCGAATCTGTATCCTCTCTGACAGTCAGGAGACCTGTCAAGACACGACATTGGTGACTTCTGACAGCTATACCCACCCAGGTCAAACACTCCCAGGACTACAGGAACACCTCAGGAATTGTTTGCAAAAGGGGATCCCCCATTTCACATTCTTCCCTGTTGTTACTTCTCACCACTGAGGTATCAGTCATAGGATGGGTTGTGCATCTACACAAACAGCACAGGGTAAATGGCCACCTATGGAGATGACCCTCCACATCCACCTCAAACTCAGGGCAGTCCAGGATGCTGTGCCCATCCCCTCTGGCTGCTCAAGGGAACTCACACCAGATGCTTACCAGACAACATAGCAAGTCTGTATTACATAACTCCTCATTCCAGGAGGAGCAACAGTTAATTCAAACTAAGGACTTAGTTTGAATTACTGTTTCACTGCCGCATGTAGCCACGGGCAGTTACTTCGGGCTAGTGGAATTTCAAAATGGCGACCAGACGGGAACATGCAAATAAAGCCTGAGATATTTAAACCCCGGGCTTCATTTGCAATTTCGAATGCCTACATTAGCCTCCCTAGTTTGAACTAGGGGACTAGCGTAGACACTCTCCTCCAGACTAATCAAACCTTGGTTTTGAAATCTTTATTTTTAGATAATTTTTTAAAAAACATGTAATCATTTTTGCTGCTCTCCACTAGACTTTCCCCAATTTGTTCACATCTTTCCTGATATGGGATGCCCAGAACTGGACACAATACACCAGATGAGGCCTTATCCATGATGAATAGAGCAGAAGAATTAATTCTCATGTCTTGTTCACAGCTTTCCTGTTAATACTGTTTGCCTCTTTCACAAGGGTATTATATTTTCGACGCATATTTAGCTTGTGATCCATTATAACCCCAAGATCCTATCTTGCTGTATTCCTTCCTAGGCCCACTTCATCGGGGGAGGGATAGCTCAGTGGTTTGAGCATTGGCCTGCTAACTCTAGTACTGTGAACTCAATCCTTAGACATACCCTATGAGATGGCACGTCTCCATTTATTATTATGTGTGTGTAACCAATTGTTCCTTCCTACCAAGGAATACCTTGCATTTTGTTCTTCCTGAACGCAAACCATTTCTCCAATTTGTTGGGATCATTTTGGATTTTAATCCTGCCTTTTAAAGTGCTTGCAACCCCTTTCCCTGAAATGATACCATCCACAAATGTTGCAGGTATACTCTCAATTCTATTCTGTAAGTCATATACAAAGACACTGAACAAAACCGGACCCAGTATATACCTCTGTGGAACCCCACATGATATGCGGTTCCAGCTATACTGGGATAACTTTTCTCGGAATAAAATATTCTAGCCAGCTGTGCACCCACTTCATGGCAGGTCCATTTAGGCTGTATTTCCCTGGTTTGTTTGTGAGAAAAGTATGTGAGACAGTATCAAAAGCCTTACTAAAGTTAAAATATATCATAAGAACAGCCATATTGGGTCAGATCAAAGGTCCATCTAGCCTAATATCCTGTCTGCCAACAGTGGCCAATACCAGATGCCCCAGAGGGAGGGAACACAACAAGTAATCATCATGTGCTCGCTCTCCTTTCATCTATTTCCAGACAAACAGAGGCTAGGAACACCATTCCTACCCATCCTGGCTATTAGCCATTGATCAACCTAATATCCATGAATGTATCTAACTCTTTTTTGAGTCTAGTCTGCACAACACCCTCTGGCAAGGAGTTCCACTGGTTGACTGTGCAATGATTGAAGAAAAACTTCCTTTTGTTTGTTTTAAACCTTTTTTTGAAAGGAGGCTCAGTAGCGCCTGCTCACTTACACACCCAAAAGATTATGCTCTACCCCTATTTCAGAGCCCACCCCTTTCGTGAGGCCTGCTGGGTTGTGTCTTGAATTCACGGATCTGAGTCTGCAAATCAACATGAAAAAAATCAACCTTCAGCTCTCTGCATGGCCTAGGGTTTAAAGAGACTGACCTCAATTTTACTACAGTCCAGATCACTCCTGGCTCAGCCCAAATTCCTATTCCCTTCCCGGTGCTCATAGCAATAGTTCCAAACCATCCGCAAATATCCGCCAGACAAGGTCTTTACCTCATGGAGCATGGATATCATGCCAGGAAGTGTTTTGTGCCAGACAGTGTTTCCAGGTTTGGTTAAAGTTGAGAAGGGGGTTGCTTGCCTTAGTTTGTAGAGGGCAGGACAGAGAGGGGATCTGGTTTCATCCTCAGACACTGAATGGCAGCAAGCCAGGGAGCCCTAGTCTTGTGATCTGGAGTGCGTCCAGTTGCAAGAACAGAGCCAGGATAGTAGTGAACGATGCAGAACACCTTTCTACTATGGTTCACATATGTGAGAGCATCCCTCAGTAAACAATATGGGTATGTCTACACTACAAACTTAATTCGAACTAACAGACGTTAGTGATGCTACCCATTCATTTCATTTGGTGTCTTCTAGTCCTTCTATTATGGGAACTAATGAAGAACTTTTCTTTATGCACCCTCTCCACACCACTCATGATTTTATAGTCCTCTATCATATCCCCCCTCAGTCTCCTCTTTTCTAAGCTGAAAAGTCCCGGTCTCTTTAGCCTCTCTTCATATGGGACCTCTTCCAAACCTCTGATCATTTTAGTTCCCCTCCCCTCTCCCACCCTCTCTCTCCCCTCGCCCACCTCCTTTTCCCAGTCTCCCCAGTTTTGTTCAATAAAGAGAGTTTCTATTTTTGCACACACGTGTCCTTTAATTTGTACATCAGGAAGGGGGGCTAGAGAGGGGTAAGTGTTAGGAGGTGAGGGAGGAATGGGGTACGAGGCCACGATAGGGAGGGCTGGGGTGGCTCTGCGGGCTCCTCGGGGTGAAAGCTCTCCTGTCATCCCCCGATTGACTCCCACCCCAGGATGGCAGCCTGCAGCAAGTGCAGCCGGGCTGATGGCCGAGTGCTGAGATGTGCCGAGTGTGGGCACTCAGGGCACTCCAAGACAGGACTGCTTTGCTGTCCCTCATTGAGTTAGACAAGCGAGGAGGGAACCCTGAGAACTGTCTGTCCGGGGTGGGGGTCGGGTTCCTTTAAGCACAGCCCTCGGCTAGCCTGAGGCAGGAGCTCCACACTCTAAGTCCTAACCTGATGCCCTGCCGGCACTGCTTCCGGCCAGCCTTAACCTTGGTTCAGGGTCCATTCAATGTGGACATGCTAGTTTGAATTAGCAAAACACTAATTCGAACTAGTTTTTAGGTCTAGATGCACTAGTTCGAATTAGCTTAGTTCGAATTAACTAATTCGAATTAAGTTAGTTCGAATTAGTTATGTAGTGTAGACATACCCTATGTGTTTTACGGAATGGGTCTGCTAGTCTCTTCACCAAAGCTCCTCAGTGCAGAAACACCCAGCTAGACACCCGTGGCTGGCCCCTGTCTGCTGATGCTGGCTTGCGGGGCTCAGGCTAAGGAGCCATTTCATTGTGGTGTAGATGCTCAGGGTTGGCTTGGAGACTGGGGTCTAGGACCCTGTGAGGTTGGAGGGTCTATAGGTGGGTGATAAGGAGAAGCCGAAGGCCTGTGATTGGCAGGGCACATGGCAACCCCCCTTGTCTCCTCACTGAGAGAAACACGGAGGAACGAATGGTTTGTGAGGGGCAGGAAGGGAGACAAGCCCTCTTTTCTCTCCCAGGGAGGTGTTTTGGGGGGCTGATTGTGTGAAATGGGCTGGGGGATGTGGCTGAAAGGAAGTTGAGGGGAGCTGGCCATAGAGCTTTGAAGGAAAGATGGGGAAGAGGGAGGAGGGTGAAATTGTAAGGGGAGGAGATGAGAAGGGGCCAGGAGAAGAGCACTGGAGGCTGGAGTGGCAGCAGAAGGAAGTATGACAATATGGAGACCAAGCAAGACACTGGATTGCAGGAAAGAACCGAGGAGGTGGGAGGGCAGGTTGCAGGCCCTCGGGACAGGAGGGCGGAAATGGCTGACAGGGTGAGGCAGGGATCCTGTGGGGAAGAATGGCATTCGTGGGGAGAGGGGATTGCTGGGCTGGAAAAGGGGCTGCATCATGAATTCGTGGGCAGAGGGGGCTGTAAGGAGCATGGAGAGGGAGGGATGGATGCAAAACTCGCACTTGGGTGTTCCAAGGAGGATGGTTGCTGTGGCAACAGAACACGCCAGAGAGCTAGGGGAGATTCCCCGTGGCTGCTTTGTGTAAGATCCACTCTACAATAAACGGTTCCAAATCCAGCTAATGGAAAGTTTCCAAATCCAGTCGCCCGTGTGCCGTACAGTGCACCGTTGGTATGGCTCTGTACCAGGACATGTGGCACTTTGGCTCATTGAAGCACAGACACCTCCTGGCCTGTCAGCTGGCACCTCTCACAAGAGGGAACTTCTCTTTGAGAACATAACTCAGGTTCCATCCTGACCTAGCGTGAGTGCCGACCCCTGGCTCACCACAGTGACCCCATTTACAGCAGCTCTGAGATGGACTATTGTTGCATCTTTCAACTCATCTGGGGGATTGGATTAGCCCTTAATCCCAGACACTGCACCAGTGTAACTCGGTCCCTATAGAAATAGTCCATGTCTATCAGGCATTTCCCATTTGTGCTGGCAGAGATAAACCATGCAACAGCGCGATCAACAGGGATTCCCAGTTGACTCACAGATCCTCACGAGCTTTCCCCAGCACTATAAACACTGCCACAGCCTGTCTGACAGACACAGGGAATGTCCCGGCCCATAGCATTCCTGTTCGACTTGCTCTGGGGCAGATGGTGGTCACTCTCCAGCTTTTGTGTTAGTGGCTTTGGTAAGTGTCCTGCTCAAATTGCATCGATTTCACTTATAGTAATAGGCAGGCTCAGCGGCTGGAAATGTTCCATCTGTGAACAACAAGAGCTGCTCATTTTATTCTCATGTCATTCTCACTTTTTTTATGTAGTCTCTCAACCCCCTAGAATAACAGGTTGCTGTCTTGTGGTGTTTGCTATCAAAGTGCTCAGTGGTGCAAACATTGTTTAAGTGGGGTGGAATTTTCCATGAGTGAGGGACACAAACCACAGCAAAGGGAAGCTTGTGTCCTCAACTCCCTGAGGCACATTTCTGACATGCCAGGGGGGTTGGATGGGAAAAAAGAGCCAAGGAATCACCCTGCCACATCTGAACTTTGGTCTTTCAACACTAGCAAACTTACTGACAGTCTCTAGCCTGACACGCTGAACAGAAAGGGTGCCACTAACGCTAGAAAAACCAGCACTGAATAGCCTTCCAGTAGTTTGTAGCCCATGAGAGAGGTTGCTGTAACCACAGAAAGAATGACATGCTATAACTGGGCCTGCTTCTGGGCAGGAAGGCAGATTTTAGTAAATTCAGAAAGCGTGGAAAGCAAGATTAAGAGGAAAAACAACTGAAGAGAGTTGGCAGTTTTTTAAAGGGACACTATTAAGGGCCCAAAAGGAAACAATTCCACTGAGTAGGAAATATAGAAAGTATTTATATAGCAGGAGACCACCTTGGATCAGCTGGGAGATCTTATATGATCTAAAAATCAAAAAGGAATTGTATAAAAAGTGGAGAGTATGTCAAATTACAAAGGATGAATATAAGCAAACAACAATGGTATGCAGGGGCAAGAGAACAAAGACAAAGGCACAAAACAAGCTACATTTTAGCTAGGGGCATAAAGGGTAACAAGAAGATGTTCTACAAGTATATTAGGAGCAAGAGAAATTCCAAGGACAGTGTAGGCCCATTGCTCAGTGAAAAGAGAAAAACAATAACAGGAAACTTGGAAATGGCAGAGGTGTTTAATGACTTCTTTGTTTCTGTTTTCATCGAGAAGATGGATGGTGATGGAGTGCGTAACACAGAGAATTCTGGTGGAAATAGGGTAGGTTTAGAACTTAAAATAAAAGAACATGTTAAAAATTCCTTTGAAAAGTTAGATGTCTGAAAGTCATCAGGGCCTGATGAAGTATATCCTGGAATACTCAAGGAGCTGATAGAGGAGGTATTTGAGCCCTTAGCTATCATCTTTGAAAAATCATGGAAGTTGGGAGAGATTCCAGAAGACTGGAAAAGGCAAATCTAGTACCCCTCTAGAAAAATGGAAATAAGAACAACCCAGGAAACCACAGACCAGTCATTTTAACTTCTGTGCCAGGGAAGATAATGGAGCAAGTAATTAAGGAATTCATCTGCAAACATCTGGAAGAAAATACGGTGATAGGGTACTGCCAACAAGGATTTGTAAAGAACAAATCATGTCAAACCAATCTGATAGCTTTCTTTGATAGGATAACGAGTCTTGTGGATAAGGGGGAAGTGGTGGATGTGGCATACCTAGACTTTAATAAGGCATTTGACAAAATCTTGTCTGACCTTCTTATCAATATACTAGGCAACTACAGCTTAGAAGGGGCTACTATACAGTGAGTGTATAACTGGTTGGATAACCATTCTCAGAGAGTAGTTACTAACGGTTCACAGTCATGCTAGAAGGGCATAACAAGTGGGGTTCCGCATGGGGTCTGTTTTGGGAAAGGTTCTGTTCAAAATCTTCATCAACGATATAGATTATGGCATAGAGAGCCTGTTTATTAAGTCTGCAGATGATACAAAGCTGGGAGGGGTTTCAAGTGCTTTGGAGGATAGGGTGAAAATTCAAAATGATCTGGACAAACTAGAAAAATGGTCTGAGGTAAAGAGGATGAAGTTTAATAAGGACAAATGCAAAGTGCTCTACTTAGGAAGGAACAATCCAGGTCATACACACAGAATGGGAAGTGACTTTCTAGGAAGGAGTACTGCAGAAAGGGATTTAGGGGTCATAGTGGACCACAAGTTAAACATGAGTCAACAGTGTGACAGTGTTGCAAAAAAAGCAAACATGATTCTGGGATGCATTAAAAGGAGCGTTATGAGCAAGACATGAGAAGTCATTCTTCTGCTCTACTCTGCACTGATTACACCTCAGATGGAGTGTTGTGTCCCGTTCTAGGCACCACATTACAAGACAGATGTTAAAAAATTGGAAAAGGTCCAGAGAAGAGCAACAAAAATGATTAAAGGCTTAGAAAATGAGACATTATCGCAGTTTTCAAGTATCTAAAAGGGTGTTACAATGAGGAGGGAGAAAAATTTTTCTCCTTGGCATCTGAGGATAGGACAAAAAGCAATGGACTTCAACAGCAGCAAGGCAGGTTTAGGTTGCACATTAGGAAAAATGTCCTAACTATCAGTGTTGTTATACATTGGAATAAATTGCCTAGTGGGGTTGTGGAATCTCCATCTCTGGAGATATTTAAAAGCAGGTTAGACAGACATTTATCAGGGATGGTCTAGACAGAGCTTGGTTCAGCCATGAGGGCAGGGGACTGGACTAAATGACCTCTTGATTGTTCTATGATTGTATGATTCTTCTGCAATTTCCAGAGAGATGGCATTTGTATGGCGTGTAGCACCTCTCAGAGTGTCGGCCTGCCAGGTTTCTTACATGGGAAATTTGAGCTCTTTGTCTTTGCTCCAACAAAACACAATTTCAATGTGGGGTTTGCCTCGGCCAGGGACACTTAGACCAGATGAGCTGGGTATCTGGGAGTCCCACAAGGGTTTTTCATCAAGGTTCCAACTCCACCTTGTCTGCAGGGCAGTGGCAGAAAGGGCCATAATGTCTCTCAGGGTGTCACTTGTGTCTTGATAATGTTGTTTTTCATTGCAGGGAATGTGGTTTAGTAAAATGATCAGAACCTCCCCAAGGCATCATGCCAGCCTGCAATGAAACCAATATTGGTCATGCAACCTTCCTCCTGGAAGGCATCCCTGGGCTGGAAGCTGTGGGCCCCTGGATCTCCGTCCTGTTCTGCTTCACGTACCTCATGGCAATTTTAGGAAACGGTCTCATTCTGTTTGTGATAAAGACACGGAAGAGTCTCCATCAGCCCATGTACTTGTTTCTTTGTATGTTGTGTGTCACCGACCTTGGCTTATCTGCTTCCACCTTGCCCACAGTGCTCAGTGTCTTCCTGTTTAACACCAGGGAACTTGGCTTTGATCTCTGTCTGGCCCAACTTTTCTTTATTCACACTTTCTCCAACATAGAATCCGCTGTACTACTCGCCATGGCCTTTGACCGCTTTGTTGCCATCCGCCATCCGCTGAGATATGCTTCAATTTTAACCAGTGCCAGGATAGGAAACATTGGGCTGGCGACAATAATCAGGGCTAGCGGTCTGCACATCCCACTCATCCTTCTTCTCAAGAGGTTGCCGTACAACCAGATTCAACCGCTCTCCTATTCCTATTGTTTGCATCCAGATGTGATGAAGGTGGCCTGCGCAGACACTACGCCCAATAGCTACTATGGCTTGTTTCTTGTTCTTTCTACTCTGGGCCTGGATTCCGTGCTTATTGTATTGTCTTACGTCATGATCCTTAACACAGTGCTGAGTCTCACATCCTGGCGTGAGCGTCTCAAAGCCCTGAACACCTGCATCTCCCACATCTGTGTCACCCTGCTATTCTACATCCCACTGCTCAGTTTGACGATGATTCACAGGTTCAGGAAAAATGCCTTTCCTCTGAGTCAAATTCTTAGTACATATCTCCACCTCATCTTCCCCCCTGTGCTCAATCCCATTGTGTACAGCATAAAAACCAAAGAGATTCGTAAACAGATCATGAAGGTCTTTCAGGATTATTCCACCAAGAGATTTCAATAGGGGCACTGAGTAGGTTTTTTTCATCTGTTTATCTAGGAGCCTCCATGGCCCATGATATCCAAGAGTTTCTGTGACTTTGAGCCAACCAGGGCTAAGGATTCAGCCGTCTCATTGAACTAATTGTATTAATTGTAGTAATTGTATTAATCTGTGTTCACCTATGTCAACAACGTGACCAATGCAACTTGTATATGTTAAATTTTGGTTCTTGTCTGTTATGTTTTATAATTATATTCTATTGATTCAGGTATCAAAAGGGGTTATTACCATTGTGGTGAATGTTGTGATATAATAATATAATTGTGTATATTTCTTGCTGAAATTTGCACTACAGTACCTATGAACCAGTTGAGTTATGCTAAGGATTACAACTTGTTATCTGGGTATGTCTAGGAAACAGTTTTACTTCAAAGCAACAATTCACATTATCTGTTCTTCGTCCATGGAATCCCTGCTATGATCATTTGCCAACAAGAGGTGAATTAGCTGAACTTCACTTATAAAAGACACTTTGAGGCCTGTTCCTTAATATCTCAGGCTTGCTTATATCAGAGGCTGTCAAGTCAGAAGATTGACTTTTCCAGGTCTAGTCTCATGAAAGAATTTCCAATTCTCACGGAAGAATTTGCACAAACTCTACACATGGGCTGCCCTTTGGTCTATGATATTTTACATGAATTCCAAAAGGATTTCCAGAAAAGGATACGAGGATTAAAGTGTATGAGAAGCTGGACATGAGTCAACAATGTGCCCTTGTAGCCAAGAAGGCTAATGGCATATTAGGCTGAATTAGGAGGAGCATTGCAGCAGATCCAGAGAAGTATTTATTCCCCTTTATTCTGCACTGGTGAGACCACATCTGGAGTATTGTGTCCAGTGCTGGGGCCCCCATTGTAGAAAGGATGTGGACTCATTGGACAAGGTTCAATGGTTGGGACCAAAAATGTTTAGGGGCTGGAGCACATGACCCATGAGGAAAGGTTGAGGGATTTGAGATTGTTTGGTCTGCAGAAGAGTGAGGGGAGATTTGATAGCAGCATTCAACTTCCTGACGGGAATTTCCAAAGAGGGTAGAGAGAGACTGTTCTCTGTAGTGATGGATGGAGGTCTAGGTTGGATATTAGGAATAACTATTTCCCTAGGAGGGTGGTAAAGCACTGGAATGGTTTACCTAGTGAGGGGTGGAATCTCCATCCCTAGAGGGGTTTAAATCTCAGCTTGACAAAGCTCTGTCTGGGATAATTTAGTTGGGGTTGGTCCTGCTTTCTGCAGGGGGCTGAACTCGATGACCTCCTGAAGTCTCTTCCAGCCCTAGGATTCTATGATTTCTACAAATCAATAGTGTCAATATCTCTGCTATGAAGCCGATCTAAGGACTTGATTCAGATCTTTAGGCATATTGATTTTTAAGCACAGCCCTTTAAAATAAATCTTTGATTAGTTATTAAGGATTGGCTGTAAGCTTGTATTTGGGGAAGAAACATGCATTGGTCTAGTGAGCAGTGTGTTTGATCCCTCGGGATTGGCAGAACTTTGTATCTAATATATCAAATTTTAAATAACCCTCATTCTATAGACTTGTCAGGCAGGATGGCAGGGAGACAAAGGCTGCATTGCTTAAAGGGAAGTGGATTTTCACTTCTTGGTCACCAGTAAGATAATGCAGAAGCTATTGATTCAGTGAATCTAGTTATGAGAAATTCTTATTCTCCGTATAGCACACAGAGGGGTTCAATGGAATTCACATGAGGAAGAAGGAGTTCAATGGAGGAACACTACTTGCTGTCAATTCTGAACTTTTTTGTCAGCTGACTTGCAAATTCTGTACTCAAAGATTAAGTGTTGCCCTTTTGGCTGAGCACACGCCATATTTTTCACACATACAGGGTGTGTCTAGACTACAGGGTTTTGTCAACAAAAATGGACTTTTGTTGACAAAACTATGCCTGCGTCTACACTACCACCGAGTTCTGTCAACATAACGTCAACAGAACTCGGCAGTTTTGTCAATGGCAGTAAACCTCATTCTACGAGGAATAACACCTTTTGTCAACAGAGTTCTGTCAACAGAAGGCGTTATTGCATCTACACTGTCCTTTGTGTCTACACTCTCATGTCGACAAAGCGGCTTACTTCGTAGACAGAACTGGATGCAGCGTAGATTTCAATGGAGGAACACTACTTGCTGTCAATTCTGAACTTTTTTGTCAGCTGACTTGCAAATTCTGTACTCAAAGATTAAGTGTTGCCCTTTTGGCTGAGCACACGCCATATTTTTCACACATACAGGGTGTGTCTAGACTACAGGGTTTTGTCAACAAAAATGGACTTTTGTTGACAAAACTATGCCTGCGTCTACACTACCACCGAGTTCTGTCAACATAACGTCAACAGAACTCGGCAGTTTTGTCAATGGCAGTAAACCTCATTCTACGAGGAATAACACCTTTTGTCAACAGAGTTCTGTCAACAGAAGGCGTTATTGCATCTACACTGTCCCGCTGGTAAACCTCATTTTACGAGGCATAACGCCGTCTGTCGACAGTTATGTCGACAGAAGGTGTTATTGCATCTAGGGTTGTGTCTAGACTACAGGGTTTTGTCGACAAAGCAGCTTGCTTTGTCGACAGAACTGAATGTAGTCTAGACGCTCTTTGTCGACAGAAGCTTTGTCGACAGTATCTGTCAACAAAACTTCTGTCGACAAAAGCCTGTAGTCTAGACGTACCCTGAGTCCACAAAAGCCTGTAGTCTAGACGTACCCACAGAGGTTGAATTCCTGCTCTAAGGGGCAAAACTTGATTCTGGGGAGAGCGCGATGGGACCACGGGCAGAGGGCCCCGTATAAGGAGATGTCACCAGAAAGGACAGCCTGAAGGTTGTTCAGGATGGGAGAGGGGGCATGAACCCAGTGGGAGGGTGGATGGGGGTGGACACTGGTCCCGTCACCTAGAGCAAGGGCGTGTGGCCCCTGCCAGCACAGAGTCTGACCTGGGGTATCGCTGCAGCCAGGTTTGGGCAACCACTCCCTGGAGCTCACACCCAGAGCAGATGGAGCATCCGTGGCTCCCCACAGTGTTCCCAGTGAGCTCTTAGCATGGCCCTACAGCAGCTCTTTGGTCCCAGAGCTCAGTCAGGGTGAGAACGCTGTGGGCAGCTCTGGGCAGCCACGGTCCCTACATCTGTCCAAGGGGAGCAGGGACATGGGGTCTTAGGCTCCTCTAAGGCACTCCCACCCCAACGATCCAGCCTCCCTGATTTGTGTCCAGGTTCCAGCTTAGCCAGCAGGGGTTATGGGAGGAAGAAGAGGGAGGGGCAGGGCCATGAAGGACCAAGGCCTTGTGGCCCTCCCACTTTTTAGGGAGAATTCATTGCCCCTGAACCTGGAGAGTGTGGGGAGCAGACTGTGAACGTTTCTGGGGTTGTCCCCATGCCCACAAAGTGAGTTCCTTCTCCCTTTCCCCTGCCCCCTTTCCTCCTTTTGTTCCCTTGCAGCTGCTGTGTCATACATTGACTGTACTTGGAATGTAAAGCAGTGAGAAGTGGGTCAGGGACATGGCCAGTATAGAGAGAGTCCCCCATGGGATGGGGGACACGATAGCTCCTCTCCCAAGTGACCACAACAAGACCGGGGGTCGAACCCCTGGTCTTCATGTTGGAACGCATCAATTTGGGGAGCAGACAGTCTGTGTCAGGCAAATGTCCCATCACTGCATGAGACACCGCCCCAGAGATTCATGTGGTAGTAACATTTTTCCTTTCCTATTTTATTGTGTATTAAGAGCAGTGAACTTATCATTCCTTATTTGGCCTCTTCATTGTATGTCCTAAGAACACAAGAACATAAGAACGGCCATACTGGGTCAGACCACAGGTCTGTCTAGCCCAGTGTCCTGTCTGCTGACAGTGGCCAATACCAGGTGCCCCAGAGGGAGGGAACACAACAGGTAATCCTCATGTGATCCCTCTCCTGTCATCCATTTCCAGACAAACAGAGGCTAGGGACACCATTCCTACTTATCCTGGCAAATAGCCATTGATGGACCTAACCTCTATGAATCTATCTAGCTCTTTGCTGAACCCTTATAAAGTCCTAGTCTTCACTACATCTTCTAGCAAGGAGTCCCACAGGTTGACTGTGCACTGTGTGAAGAAGAACTTCCTTTTGATTGTTTTAAATCTGATGCCTATTAACTTCATTTGGTGATCCCTAGTTTTTATATTATAGGAACAAGTAAATCACTTTTCCTTCTTCTCTTTTTCCACACCAGTCATGATTTTATAGACTCTATCATATCCCCCCTTAGTATCTTCTTTTATAAGCTGAAAAGTCCAATTCTTTTTAATCTCTCTTCATATGGGACCCATTGCAGACCCCTACTCATTTTTGTTGCCCGTTTCTGAACCTTTTTTCAATGCCAAGATCTCTTTTGTGAGATGAGGTGACCACATCTGTGCACCGTAGTCAACATGTGGGCGTACCATGTTTTTTTATAGAGGCAATAAGACATTTTCTGTCTTACTGTCTATCCCTTTTTAATGGTTCCTAGCATTCTGTTTGCTTTTATACTGCCATTGCTATAAAATGGAAATGGAACTTGCCCTAGCAACTTACTGCACCATAAATCAATCACCGGTAGGAATCACTGCTTCTGCTCAGAGTTTTAGATGCCATGAAGGCTCCGACAGACATAAATCCCCCCAGCAAACATTCCAATGACATTTATGAGTCTTCAGCACTGATGGAATGAATGGACAATGTTAGTGTTCTTTAATCACTGTTCCAAGGAGCGTGCCCAGTGATGGGCCCAGACCTTATTGTGCGGCAGACAGCAATGTTCTCACAAGCAACGGGACGCGGCCCTGAGAGATGCTGCAGTATCTCAAAAGGAGACACCCCACCTTTGTATGTCACCCTGCAGTTTATTTGAGAGGAAGCTCATTAGCGGCCACTCCCCTACACACCCCATGATCTACCCCTATTTCAGAGCCCACTGCTT